AGCCTCAGGCTGTCTTGCCTCAAGTCCACGCCGGTCTGCGTCCACAGGAGCCCGCACTCTGCCCTCCAGTCCTCCTGGTTTGGATAGTGTGCCTCTGCTTGGCTATGCTGCTCTTTTTGTTCATGTCTCTCTGAGCTCTAGGGGGTACACATGAGATGTCCTGGGGGGTAGCCCTCTTTTGAAGCCTGAACAATGTGTTTGAGCAACACTGGTAATGTCTGAGATGTGCCTGGCGTCCCAGTGAGGAAGGTGAGCTCCCAGGGGCGATTGTGCTGGAGGCTTGGGTTGGAGCAGAGATGATTCAGTGTCAGGTTTTGACGTCTGTCCAGGGCTTAAAGCTTTTCGTTAGCCTTTGTTCCAGAACACTGAGGAGATGGAAATGTTACTGCTGCCGGAAGGAAAACGTTATGAGGAATGGCTTTTCACTAGAATGCTGGTGGTCTGCTTTTCATGTAAGGTAATAATAGACAAATCATTCCAAGAGAACTGAAGCTTAGCAGTCATTTTTAAAACCAGCGTCTTTTCTACCACAATGGTAATTTGGGTTCCTCATTTTTTAAAAATTGGAAAATAACAAAAGCATCGTAAAAAGAATGGCTCCTCATAACCCCACAGGACAAAGATAACCACTGTTAGCCCTTTGGACCTTGTTTTTCTTTTAGTTTTTACATAGGTACATTTGTAAGTAACATAGTGGTGATAAACAACAGAACATCTTATTGAAACCAAAATGGCTATTTTCTGTGCCAGGAAGTCTTTTAAGTGCTTCGTGCGAATTAGTTCATTTATTCCTCACAGCTCTTCAAAGAATCACTATCTCTATTTTACAGAAGAGGAAGCACAGAGAGGCTAAGTCATTTTTCCAGGGCCACACAGCTCCCAAGAACGGTGCCAAGATGGAAACCAAAGCATTCTGTCTTTCAAGTCCAGGGTTTTGACGATCCTGTGATGCCCTCTCACAGTCAAGATAACTTGGAGTACGCTTCAGGGAATTTTGCAGTGTTAGCTCTGAGCTGTCTGGTTCTGTCTCCTCATTCTATAGATTAGGAAATCAGAGACCACACAGGTGACTCAATATAGCTGAGAACACACAGCTGGTGAATGCCAGCGCCAGCACCAGAGCGCATGTGCCCTGACCCACCTGCTCCCCGAGCTCATCGGCTCTGGGCGAGCTGTGGACCTTTCTCCTCCTCCCTGGGCCCCAGCCCCGAAACAGCTGCATTTGTACTGTGACCTCAGTGCCAAGTCTGATATGGTGGCTGGAGGACTCACTCGGCTTTCTTCCAGCAGGTACCTGCAGCCCCAGCTTGAGGTCAGGGATTGTATGGGTGTGCTGACTGTTAATTATCTTGCAGAGTCTGGGCTATAAAAGGCTGAGGCCTGCAGCCCAGCACAAGTTTCAGCTCTCCACCCTCATCAGAAGTTTAACTAAGATTTACGAGCCAGCAGAAAGAATCATTGATTGAGATTTAGACACGGTTGCTATCCTCCACCTGGACTCTCGAGGACGTGCCAGGCATTGTTGTAACTTTAAAGTGAGCCAGAAGTCAGCCAGCCATCTGAGCCAAACATTCCTGTGTACGCCGCTGGCCAGGGCCGGCATTTGTGAGGGAACTGGGCCAGTGCCCCGAGACCCCAGGGCTGGATAGGCAGCTGCTGTGGGGCTGAGAATTAAAGGAAGAGGAAGAGGTGATGACTTCTTGCTGTGTTGGTAAGGTAAGGATTAAGAGCCCCTGTATCCTCCAAGGTGTGGTGGACTTCTTAACAGGACTGTCTAGCAGGGTTTTGTTTTCTTTAAAAAAAATCTGATTTTATCTGAGTGACAGGAGCCTTTCTCCTTATGACTCCCACGATGTGGAGCAAAAAAAGACAAGAGGTCTACATGATATATTAGCCAAAATGAATGTGTGCTGTTAGAAGCTAGGCTTGTGGTTGCCTCTGGAGGTGGGGGTGATGTTGTGACTGACAGAGGCCAGGGGAGCTTGTGTTCTTTTCTTTTCTTTTTTTTTTTTTTAACTGAGTCCTGGTTACACTAGTTTTAGATTGTGTGAAAATTCGAGTTTTATTCTTTTCAAATACGCTCTTTTCTGCATGTAAATTAAGCTTAAAGTTTAGAAGTCCTTGTTTTTATTTGTGCTTCATGTTGCACATTGATACTCAGAAAAATCTGATCAGTTGAATCAGGTTGAAATGATGTAGAAATTACTACCTAGGTATTAAGAAAATGTCTTTACCTGAAATTGTCAGTCTGTCTGGACAGAACTTCTAAGGCCATTTTTTTATTCTCTTCAAAGGTAGCTTATAGTTTTATTTACTTATTTATTGACTGCACTGGCTGTTTGTTGTGGTACACAGGCTCAGTGGTTGTGGCACGGGGGCTTGGTTACCCCATGGTATATGGGGTTTTAGTTCCCTGACCAGGGATTGAACCTGTGTCCTTTGCATTGCAGAGTGGGTTCTTATCCACTAGACCACCAGGAAGTCCCTTCAAATATATCTTAAATCAGGGATCCACATCCTTTTTGGCACCGGGGATTGGTTTTGTGGAAGAGGACATTTTCCAGGCCTAGGGTGGGGACGGGGATGGTTTGGGGATGATTCAAACCCATTACAATTATTTTGCACTCTAATTGTATTATTATTATTATTATATCAGTTCTATCTCAGATCATCAGGCATTAGATCCTGAAGGTTGGGGACCCCTGTCTTAAATAAGACTTCAGTGTAGATTCTTCCGGAATAAAGGATGAGGTCACTTTAGTTCAGCAAACATGTAATTGACAGCCTCTTGAGAAGCAGGGACAGAGCTTGCTCAAGAGCTGGGGCAGTTCCGACACCACCTTTCCCCTGGAGGAGTGGGTGAGTGCTCAAAGGCGGAGTAAAGTGAAGCAAGAGCGCTACGGAGCATCACAGGAAGGACAGGCAACTTTCTGACAGGACTAGGAAAAGCTTCAGAGAAAAAAAGTGGCATTTGAAATGGATCATAAAGAATATACTGAATTTTGATAACCAGAAGTGGATATGTAGCTGCTATTGAAAATACCATGCACATGAGGAAATCCATAGAAAATGCATACACATTCTGGGAACTTTGGGTTGTATGGTTCACTTAAGATGTTTGACATTCATCAGGTGCATGGTGGAGGCCTGACAGATAAGCTGGGCCCTTAACAGTGGCCAGGTTGTATTAAATAAATTGAGAGGCGTTAGAGAGTCAAAGAGATTTTCTCAGAAGTAGAGCAGCATGGTCAGATGGGCTATCTTAAGTGAAACTGAATTTCTAACCTCGCAGTTATACTGTTATTAACTCTGTCTGCCCAAAGTAAACATTTCCTCAGCTTAGTGCATCCTTTGTTTCTATAATTTGAGCCTATTCCTGTTTGGATCCATGGGGTGAGCCATAGGTGCTTGGCTTCCTTGAGCTTCCTGTGGTCCTCTCTTCAGGACTTGAAGGTGATCATTATATATCTTCTTCAGTTCCTACACCCATCCTTCCCCCTTGACCAGGTGAAGTCACAATTCCTTTATCATTTTTTACAGTCTTGTAGTGATCTGGCATTTAATTCCTTCCAGCCTTTCCTATGTGATGCTCATCTGCCAAAGAAAGCAACCAGGATGTCTTACAGCCATGTCGTGTGTGAAAAGAGGGGGCCAAGAAGTAAGTTAAGAAACTTTTTTTAAGTTGTGAAGGAGGCCTACTGACCCGCTGACCTGGGATTGTGTCCCCCTGGGCTACTGGGCTCCCTCCATGGAAAAAGCACTGGGTAGGGTTTTGCATATGGCAAAGGGTTAATGCTAATTATTGGAAACGGTCCACATTTGAGCCTGGGTCACTTGATCAGTATGAGGTCTCTTATTGTCATTACAACTTTTGGCTGTGTCAGCCTATTCTCCCATTAAAAAAAAAAAAAGCTTACTTGTGCTGAACATTGTCTTCCATCCCATCTCCCAAGACTCTATATCAAGTCATCTTCTAATCAAAAGATTGTCAACTTTACAAGTAAGATGCTTCAGTTTAGAGCCTAAGAATTTTTGTTCAGAGATTGTGTTCAGATGCTGTAAAGATCTGTTTTTAGTCCTCTAGGGACAAGAGTGTCCTGACGTGTAAAGAGGACAGAGGTAGAGTGTGTTGGATTCAAATCCTGGCTCTTTAAGTCCCTGTTTCTACGTGTTATACGGATATAACATGTTCTCTGCCTGGTGTGATGGTGAGGCCCAGACAAGACCAACCCTGTGATCATCCAGTGCCTGCCATGCGATCCCATTTGCCTTTCCCTTTTAGAGCAGAATTTAGTCACCTGCCCTGGCCAGGGTGCTCATTGATGCAGTTCTTTTCTCCTGGTGGCCTTTGAATGAGAAAGCTGTTTCACATGGTCTTAGTATTATTACTGTGGTTGTTTATAATCGCTTTGGTTGTGGTTTGGGTTATTTGTTTCCACATCTGAATATTGCTGTTTTATTACTCAATTAATCTTGTACCGTATTAGTCTATCATATCTGTTTAAATGGCTCCATTAAGAAAATGATCCTTGTGTTGACAAATGTACCTACTGGAACTTTGCTTTCTTTTTTTATTTTTCTCTCCTTCTGTTAAATGATTGAGTTCTGAATTGAGTGCATTTCCCACAGTGGTGAAGTTCTCTGTGAATGGGGCATGGCAGGCATTCCACTTACCTGGGCACTTTGGGAAACCATGAGGACTGATAACATCATCCTGTGATGGGTGTTCTACCCTGGCAACAGTTACTTACCATCTAATCAGACAGAACATTGGATATCCTGGCAGAGCTGAATCTCACTGGCCCTGTACATGAGTGCAGGAAGGAGTTGGGTTGTCCTTCATTCACCTTGAGAGGATAACAGGGAGTTTTTATCTGGCGAATACTTGCGGCTTGAAAATCTGGGGCGTGAAGTGTGTCTGTTGTGTGTGTACAGTGACCCTCTCTTGGACTTCCAGTCTAAAGATGTTTCCTGCCCCCCCCCCCCACTGTCTCCTCCAGGTAGGACGTCATGACATGAACACCCTAAGCCTGCCCCTAAACATCCGCAGAGGCGGGTCGGACACCAACCTCAACTTCGATGTACCAGATGGCATCCTGGACTTCCACAAGGTCAAACTCAGTGCGGACAGCCTGAAACAGAAAATCCTCAAGGTCACAGAGCAGATAAAAATCGAGCAAACGTCCCGTGACGGGAACGTGGCAGAGTATCTGAAGCTGGTCGACAGCGCGGACAAGCAGCAGGCTGGCCGCATCAAGCAGGTGTTCGAGAAGAAGAACCAGAAGTCGGCTCACTCCATCGCCCAGCTGCAGAAGAAGTTGGAGCAGTACCACCGGAAGCTCCGGGAGCTCGAGCAGAACGGGGCCCTCCGGGGCGCCAAGGACACTGCCAGGGATAACCTGAAGGACGTCCCGCCCTCTCTGAAGGATGCCCAGGCCAAGTCCCGCACCGCCCCCCACAGCCTGGAGAGCAGCAAGTCGGGCATGCCGGGGGTGTCCCTCACCCCCCCCGTGTTTGTCTTCAACAAGTCCAGGGAGTTCGCCAACCTCATCCGGAATAAGTTCGGCAGCGCTGACAACATTGCCCACCTGAAGAACTCCTTGGAGGAGTTCCGGCCCGAGGCCGGCGCCAGGGCCTACGGGGGCAGCGCCACCATCGTGAACAAGCCCAAATACGGCAGCGACGACGAGTGCTCGAGCGGCACGTCGGGCTCCGGCGACAGCAATGGGAACCAGTCGTTCGCGGCCGGGGGCTCGGGCAGCCAGGGCAAGCTCACGGCCATCCTGGAGGAGCTCCGGGAGATCAAGGACACGCAGGCACAGCTGGCTGAGGACATCGAGGCCCTCAAGGTGCAGTTCAAGAGGGAGTACGGCTTCATCTCTCAGACGCTGCAGGAGGAGAGATACAGGTACTTCAGGCTCTGCTCTCAGGAGCTTGAGTTTCTAAGATTGGAGAGATTGTTTGAAAGTGATATGCTGATGGTTGTATTTTTTTAAAAATGTGTATGTGGGTCAAAAGGCATTTAGGAACCGAGAGTTCCTTCCGTACTTTGCAATTCTAAACACTGTAATTTGCGACTTGAAGCTCGACAGCTTAGAGAAAGACATCATGCATGTGGGTCTGTTAAAATATCACCATATAGTCAATGACTCACGTGCGTATTAAGCTCCTGATTCAGTAGACAGTTGTTACGAGATCTCGGTATACTAATTTCAAGATCTGTATTTGGTTTCCTCCCGTAGTAACTGTCAAGTAAAAAAACAAATTCACAGTCCAGCAAAGTAGCTTTTATTTGGTACCTAAATCTCAAAGTCTTTATATAATGTATTTTTTTGTGAGATTACATTTTGCGTATTAATAAACCTTTCACCCTAAATGAAAACCTTTCAAAAGGAATCTTAAAATAAAAATTCAAATCCTGTGGATTATATTAGCTAATTTTTAAATTCAAGTGTTATATATAGTTGGCTTTTTGGTGCCTCCTGCTTAAAAAGTGTACATGCCCAAATATGAGGTGATTTTCCACCATTTTCCCATTAAAAATATGCCCCCGCCCCACCTCAGGTTTTTTGTCAAGTGAATGTTAACTTCTAAAAATATAGATGAAACAGTGAATGCCTATTACATATTATAAGATTTAAATTTTAAATTTAGTTTACATGTTTTATGTCTGATATATGATTTTATGTGAGTGTTAATTTAGAGGTGTTGCTTTTTCAGCTCTTATATTTTATGAAACAATTTTTTTTAAACTTTCTATGTACATCTTTGACTTTGGATTCTTTGTCACATAAGAACTATTTTTGAGTCACAGTTTTTCTAAATAATGTTGACTTTGATTCCATTCAGGAAGTTTGGGAAACAGCTCTGTTTGGGTCCAAGTTTTATTTCAAGTCACAAATATCCATTCAAACAGTTTTGGTTCTCATTTTGTTATATAGTTATGTTTGTGATCCTTCTGATTTAGTCTCTCACTATATTGCTTACTTTAGGAGATCTTTGTTTTTAGTCTTTATTTTATATTGGATTATAGCTGATTTATGATGTTGTGTTAGTTTCAGGTGTATAGCAAAGTGATTGTTATACATATACATATATCTGTTCTTTTTCAGCTTCTTTCCCCATATAGGCTTTTACAGAGTATTGAGTAGATTTCCCTGTGCCATACAGTAGGTCCTTATTATCTATTTTATATATAGTAGTGTGTCCATGTTAGTATCAAACTTCTAATTTATCCCTCCCCTACCTTTTCCCTTTGACAATCATCAGTTTGTTTTCTAAGTCTATGAGTCTGTTTCAGTTTTTTAAATAAGTTCATTTTATCTTTTTTTAAAGATTCCACATACAAGTGATATCACGTGATGTTTGTCTCTGACTTATTTCACTGAGTGTGATAATCTCTAGGTCCATCCGTGTTGCTGCAAATGGCAGTATTTCATTCTTTTTTATGGCTGAGTAATATTCCATTGTCAGTGTGTACCACCTTTTCTTTATTCATTCATATGTTAAGAGATCTTTAAAAGGCTTGCTTACAAACACCAACATTGAGCACCTACAAGCTGCTCCAACATTGAGCATGCTCCAACATTGAGCATCTCCTACCTGAGAATAATCATTAAATCTGTATTAAAGTGGTTTTTTTTAATGATTTTTTTCAAGTGACCTATATGAAGTGTCTAAAACTGGCATTACTCAAAAGTCATCCAGACTAATGCATCTTCCTCAAATAGTGCTTCCTGTTTCAAAATAAACATTACATAGGTTTTCAGATAAAAGAAAAAATTTCCCTATTCTGAGGGGACTGGGCATTGGGAATAGGAATCATTGTGCTTCTCTTACTTTAGATTTGAACTTTTGGAACTGACACCTGTTAAGCCATATTGAATTTGTAACAAGCTGAATTTTTTTTTTAATTGGCACTTAAGAACTAAGACATGTATTCACTATTCCCGTGCACACTGGGAAATCAGTAGAAGTGGCTCCAGCCTAGAAACTGGTCCTTTCCTTATGGATCTCTGGTGCATGAGAGCTATGGCGGTGAACCACCAGGCTCTGAGCGGTCAAAAGAGGGAGAAGCACCAGGATGCCAGTGGGTCCTCACCTTGAGCAGGGTTCTTGACAGCTCTGTCTCCTGACCAGCCCAAATGAGCAGCCGATGGGGTCTGTCCCCACAGCCGCCAAGGTGCTGGTGTGACGTGGGTGGAAAAGCCCAATTTGGTTTGCATGAACCCTCAGTAGTGAGGACAGAGTTAAGACTGCAGAGACCAGTCCTTTCTGGAGCTAGAGTTCAGCGTTATCCAAAAGCATGTCCCCTACAGCTAGACTTACTCTTGGAAGCTCAGTCTGCCTGGAGGAGAACAAGCCACAGGGCAGTGGCGACAGTAGGCACAAAGGATGTCATTTTCCAAGGGCCGTCCATACACTTTTGAAATGTCGCACTCAGAATCGATTCATCTCTTTACAAAGGTACGAGCGACTGGAGGACCAGCTCCATGACCTCACCGACCTGCATCAGCACGAGACGGCCAACCTGAAGCAGCAGCTAGCCAGCATCGAGGAGAAGGTGGCCTACCAGGCCTACGAGCGCTCGCGGGACATCCAGGTGCCTTTCCTTCCCCCACCAGAGTTCCCGCGGGCCCTTCCCAGCCATTTATTCATTTAACAAACCAATATATTACCCCCAAGCCTGGAAGGATTTCTGGTGCTGAGGGGCAGACATTTAATCTTTACCCTGTTTACCCCAGTAGCTCATGTTATAGACTTTAAGCTATAGTCTGTCTGCTTTCTGCCTAAGTTAGTTAACAATTATTTTTTATCTACCCCAAGCCTATCACCTGTACTTTACTCTCCCCCACCATCACCACATTTTTACAAATTTTAAAACCTGAGACAAACCTTGCCTTCAACATGCTTGCTTAGGTGAGAAATCAAGAGGAACACAGCTGCCAGTGGGCTCAAGACAGCATGAACAAGGGCCAAGTTACATGAGTGTAGGCTCTGAAAGCCTCGGAAATTCAGGCGTGCAGTGCCCAGCAAGCTATGGACTTATGGGGCGGGGGCCACAAAGTGATCAGACCCTGGATTTCAGTCCCAGCTGTTTACCAGCTACCTGGTCCTGAGCCAGCTTTAAGTTTCTTTGCTTATCTGTAAAATATTAGCTTTCATATTTGTGGGAATTTCAAGCACTTGAGTCCATACTCTGTGCCAGGTACTGTCAAAGCACTTTAGATGTCTGTATGCCCATTTGTTTCTGTTTGTGATAGCTCCTTTTCCTCTCCCCATTTCTCAGAAGTAGAGACCAAGGCGCAGAGACCTTGTTCAAGGTCTTACAAATAGTCCTTGAGTAATGAATCTGAATAAAAGTCCTGGAGAAGGTGGGTTTTGAAGGGATGGGTGGGATCCCAGTGGATGGAGGAAAATGGATCAGTATAAACAAAGGCATGTTAGTGATAATGTGATACTAATGCTGTCATGGTGCTTCCCTGGTGGGTCAGATGGTAAAGAATCCACCTGCAATGCAGGAGAGCTGGGTTTGATCCCTGGCTCAGGAAGATCCCCTGGAGGAGGAATGGCAACCCACTCCAATATTCTTGCCTGGGAAATGCCATGGACAGAGGAGCCTGATGGGTTACAGTCCATAGGATCGCAAAAGAGCCAGATGCAACTGAGCAACAACGCTGTGGTGAAGCAGCCCTAGGCTTCTTGAGTTCCTTTTTGGTTCCAGAAGGTCTTCTTTTTCCCCCAGTTTTTATTCAGACACAATTTTCATACAACTGTATTAAAGTATACAATATAATGATTTCATATGTGTACCTATTGCAAAAATATCACCACAATAAATTGAGTTAACATTCGTCACCTCACATAGTTACAAATTTGTTCTCTTGTGATGAGAACTTTGAAGGTCTACTCTCAGCAACTTTCAAATATACAATACACCCTTGTTAACTCTAGTGAGCAAGCTGTACATTACATCCGCAGGGCTCATTTATGTTATAACTGAAAGTTTGTGCTTTTGACCCTCTTCACCCATTTCACCTCCCTTCCCCTTTTAGATTCTACGGTGTTTGTTGTCTGTCTGACTCATTTCACTTAGCGTTAATACCCTTTAGGTCCTTCCCTGTTGCAAATGGCACTGTCTCCTTGTTTCTTAGGGCTGCATAGTATGCCTGGGTGTGTGTGTACCACATTTTCTTTATTGATCCATCAGTGGCCACTTGGGTTGTTTCCATGTCTGGGCTATTGTCAGTAATGCTGTAATAAATGTGAAGGTGTGAATTTCTCTTCTAGATGCTAGTGTCATGTCCTTCCTGTATGTACCCAGAAGTGGGATTTGTGGATCATACGGTAGTTCTATTTGTAATTTTTTGAGGAACCTCTGTACTGTTTTCCATAGTGGCTGCAGTGATTTACATTTGCATAGATTGCCTTTTTTAAAAAAAGGAAACAAAGAGTGCTATCCAAGTCATGCTCAGCTTCAGTTTTACAAATGTTCTTTGCAGGCGTGGTTATTTTCTCCAACCCCACTTTACACGGGGCTGAGACACAGAGATTTCTCCCACAGTGTGTGAGCTGGAGTTTCAGCTGCCCATGTTTTGTTCCTTCCTGTCAAAAGCTGAGCCTGTGCTAATTCCAGTTGTCTGCTTGGACGATGCTGGGAGCCAAAGAAGGCATCAGGCTTGTTTGCCTCTGAGGACCTTGGTGCAGAAGACACCAAGCGGATTTCTGCTCTGGGCTAGGAGACTGAACTTCACTGCTGACTGGTGTAAGAGATGTGAACCTGCTTAAGTGTGACGTGTTGCCAGGCAGACAGCACATTCGTTTTATTAGAGCATGCTGTTTAGCTACATCTGGGATTCCACTGGCTTATATCTAAATATTATGTATGGTTTGCTTATTTAGGGGATTGTTTGGGTTTATATTGTTATTCCTTTTTCAAAGAAATATACTTTAGAGATGGAAGGGGTAAGATTGGGGGGGGCGTGGCAAACTTCAGAGAGAGCTTAAAAATTCAGACGATTTCATTTTACCATTTTCTAGTTTTACCTGTAGCTCAGAAGTGCAAAGGGGTGAAAAAATAAATAAATAAATAAAATGTAAAAAAAAAAAAAAAAAAAGAAGTGCAAAGGGGATGTCCATGTGAGTGACTGGAGGGCCTTTCTTTTTAGAATCTTGCCTCTGTCTCTTACTGTGACCCTGCACAAGTCAGGGCTATGCCTCAGCTTCCTCATCTGTAAAATGGAAATATTAATGAGCTCTACATCAAAAGGTCTGTCAGAAGGATTAAATGGGATAAGATACATGAAATACTTAAATCTTTACCTGACACATCAGACAAAAAAGTAGATGCTGGTCAGTTTTATATTTAGTATGTATGAGTAGCTGTATTTCTTGGGGCTTTGGTGACTGAGCCTGTTCACTTTCCTCTTTCTTGTTTTTTTGTGCTTATAGGCAGGGCTATACAAGGTGATGGAGTAGTATAGATGAGGGTAACTGTTGCCTATAAGGATACAAAGGTTTTATTGTTGTTTTAAAGAGCAAGTGAGTTTTTTTTAACCCTGAATTCGAAATAAAAAGTTTAAAGGTAATCCTGTCCTTTGTCCTTATCCCCAGTAAATTTAGTACTTACTTTGGCCCAGTATTTAATTTCTTAGTGGCTGCTGTGACCAAAATTCCTTACAGTTGATGGCTTAATTTTCTTGAATTTTTCTTTTGGTTAAAAATTTGACAGAAGTTCTAAAGGCAGTTCTAGAATCAGCCTACTCTGCATATGTAAATCATCTCCCCAATCACAGATGGATGCATTTACCTAAAATGGTCATCTTTTGTCCTGTTCCATCACCAGTTCCATGCCATGCCTAAAACAGAGGATGCTCTCTGTGGACCTAAGCATTTTAAAAGAATACATGATTCGGGAGGCCCTTGCCTGTTGCTGTAGAAAGTCAGCGCTATTTAGAATGTGAAGATCTGAAGAAGTTTTACCTTCTTTGTTGGTAGCCTGTGTGATGAAAGTTACTATAGTAACAGAGAATCCTTGGCCCATAGAGTATGTTCAGAAGAAGGAAAGTAAATCAATGTTGGCGCCATTATGCTTGTTTAAAATCTGAAAACATGACTGGATTTTAATTGAGCAAACATATATCGGGAAACGAGTTATAAAATAGGCTGGTGAACTAAACTAGGTCATTGTACTGCCTCCACTTAGGTCTTTTTCTCCTGGGAGGTGTATGTTTCTTCTCTTTTTCAAGTCTCTTATCCCCTTACTGGCATTCAGTCTCTGGAGCATGTGGCCAGCTTGTGCCTCCTGCTGGAGATAACAGTGCAGTGTAGGTATGGTCCCCCAGTTGGGGAGGAGGCCGGGAGAGGGACTTGACAGTCTGGTGGGTCCAGGAATGCTTTCCTCAGGACGTGACCATCAACATAGGACCTGAAAGGTGGAGCGGGTGGTATGTGGGGAGGCAAACCTTTTAGGCACAGCACGTGTGCAAAGGCCCTGAACACGGTCCTTTGCAGCACTTTATAAAGCCAGTATGGCCGGAACACAGTGAAGAGGGGAGGAAGGGGGCTTATCTGGTAAGCTTGGCAGGAGAGAGTGGCTGGGCCAAGGCCACGTTAAAGATTTAAAAGGTTCTACAAGAAAGAGCTGTACCACATCTGCACCTTTCAGAGATCACCTGGGCTGCTGTGTGGAAAGTGGATTCATGAGGTTGAGGATGGAGAGTGTGTGCAGAGAAATGAGTATAAAGTTATCGCAGGCAGAGACCCTGGTTGTTTAGGTGGGGGGTTACTGTGGGCGGGAAGAGGAATGGACCAGTTAGGATAAATACCAGACGTTGCGCGGGTGGGGCTGGATCATGAGAAGGGTGTCAGGAAATGCCCCTCATGCTTCTCATACGAGAATTTGGTTCACCAAGTGCTGTTTTCTGAGGAAAGGAACTGGAAGGGCAACAGGGTTGATGGCAGGAGTAAGGATGGTGAGGACACGTATACAGAACCGGCCACATTGCATTTGATGTGCTTCTGAGAAACTGATGGAGATGTCACGGCCTCCCTGGTGGCTCAGAGGTGAAGAATCTGCCTGCCATTGCAGGAGATGCAAGAGATGTGGGTTCAATCCCTGGGTCAGGAAGATCCCCTGGAGTAGGAAATGGCACCCCACTTCAGTATTCTTGCCTGGAGAATCCCATGGACAGAGGAGCCCGGTGGGCTACAGTCTATGGGGTCAGAAAAGAGTCAGACACGACTTAGTGACTAAATAGCAGCAAAGATGGAAATGTCAGGGACTAATGTAGACACTCGGCTCGGTCTCAGAAGAGACAGCTGAGCTGGAGGTGTTCTTGGAGTACAAGTAATCAAAGCTGGCGAGGCAGAGGCCTCGGGAGGAGGTATGGCCTCAGGTCGGGCCCTGGGGACGTGGTGCAGAGCAGCCGTCTCTCCCGCTGTCCTCCTCTGCAGCGGATGTGCACAGACTCTGAGCAGTGGCGTGGGGACCAGGGGTTGGAGATGACACTTCCTCCATCGCTGGAGGTAGACCCTATCACAGAACGGGACCCCACCCCTTCCTCTGGTTTGTCCGTGAGGGTTCCACCAGATGCCAGTATTCTATGCACTTTATTCTAAATATAGGCAGAGTCAAAATACCTAACCATGGGACTTCCCTCGTGATCCAGTGGTCAAGACCCTTCGCCACCAGTGCAGGGGGACATGGGTTCGATCCCTGGTCGGGGAACTAAGATCCCACATGCTGTGCAGTGTGGCCAAAAACCAAAATACCTGCCCGTAAATCCCTTATTCATGGTATTTCACGGTTGTAGATACATGCTCGTTCTATCCATGAATAGCAGGATAAGGCGAGCCCTGGGATTCTTGTCTGACACCTGTGTGTCATCACCACCATTATCATCAGCGTCGGTGTGAAGCTGCCCCAGTAGCAGCGTCCTGAGCAGGGTGGGCCTCATGCACGTCCCAGCTCACGCTCCTGTGTTGCCCCAACAGCGTTTGATCCTCGCTCTCCCTCTCGCCCGCAGGAAACCCTGGAGTCCTGCCAGACTCGCATCTCTAAGCTGGAGCTCCACCAGCAGGAGCAGCAAGCCCTGCAGACGGACACGGTGAACGCCAAAGTCCTGCTGGGCAAGTGCATCAACGTCGTCCTGGCCTTCATGACGGTCATCCTGGTGTGCGTGTCCACCATCGCCAAGTTCATCTCGCCCATGATGAAGAGCCGCTTCCACATCCTCGGCACCTTCTTCGCTGTGACTCTCTTTGCGATATTTTGTAAAAACTGGGACCACATTCTGTGTGCCATAGAAAGGATAATAATACCAAGATGAAGTCTCCAGTTCCTGTCCTCACACCCTCTCAAGTTTTTATTTTAAAGAAAACTCTGTTCATACTACCAAATTTTAAAATGGACATTTGTGCCGACGGACGAATACAGGACCGGGGCTGTGTGTGGTAGATAACTACAGTTCTCGTCGCCCGGTGGCACTCGCCAGCTGGGCCCCTGTGTGCAGTTACCGCGAATCTGTCTCCAGGCTCTCCCACCTTGCCCACTGCCTTAATCAGCCCTGGTTTCCTGCTGCCTGCCCAGCTCATCTTGGTCAACCTCTGGTTGTCAAGCACTCGGGGTAGTCAGTGACCCAGAAGAAGAGAGACTCTCCATCTCCCTCAAGTCTCTGTCAATCTTGAGCTTCACCGTTGCTAGGGCTACATTTCCCCTCGAGTCCTGTAAGCCGTGAAGATGCGGCAGGACTTGGGGAGGGGAAGAAGCTCAGACGGTGACCCTGGAGCCTGTGGGGCCTGTGAAAGCACAGTAGGTCCCGTGTAATCTGTCCCACTGTCCACTGCTGACCGTCGGTCCACTGTGTGCCCGAGGGGAAGAAGCTCAGACGGTGACCCTGGAGCCTGTGGGGCCTGTGAAAGCACAGTAGGTCCCGTGTAATCTGTCCCACTGTCCACTGCTGACCGTCGGTCCACTGTGTGCCCCGTGTCCACCCTGGCCAACTGTGTGTGACCCTCTGTCACGGGGGAATCTTACAGTTCACCTGTTAGTCCATCGCAAGTCTAACCTAGGTGTTCCATTGCTCTTTAAATGGTAAGACATGAGGATTTATGAACGGGTCTTGCCTTCATACACCCAGGGAGCCATAGTCCTGATTCCACCCTCACTGACTGTCTAACGCACCACCTTCCAGGCATATAGAGAGGCCCCCCAAATCCGTCTTCAAACTGTCTTTAATTGAGGTCTGGAAAGCACTGTATTTGTGTTCCAGCAAATTTTCACTGTGATCAGCCCCTCTCAGGATGTGTTTCGTTTTCTGTGATTCATTTTATTCAGTCTGTGAGGGCTGGCAACATGTCAACGTGTACTCAGTAAATAAAAAAGGCTGCTCACGTTTCGAGTTTTGTTTTTTTTTTCTCTCTTCAAGAAAGGACAACAGGATCATAGTTTCTAAAGCTAAAATGCCCTGAAGTGGGAACACTGGAAAAAAGGAAGAAAATAGGATATGTGGTTTAAGGGGGTGGCATCTAGACCAGTGGGTGCAGGTGACCTGGGTGAAGATTGAGAGGGTCCTTGTCAGACCCTGAAAGACCTGCAAGAATAAAATAAATTAGATTCGGTGTCTGAGCCAGGTTGCCCTCTGTCGCTTAGGATAAGTTCTAAGGGAGTAGATGGAGTGGTCACACTTCTGAGGTGAGAGCATGCAGAAGTCAACATCTTTGGCCAATTTGGGGGATGTCGTTTACTCTCTTGAGCCCAGATGATACTCTTTTAAATCTGTTTCTCTGTCACAAAAAAGAAGTTCTAGAAGATGTTAATGGAAACTGGTTCATCCCCTCCTCCCACCAGCTGTTTTGCTATCTAAAGACAAAAGGAAGAGTATCAGTGTACGTTATCTTCCAGAAAGCATCAAATGACCCGGATTTTAAATTTAAGTGCAATATTTTTGCAAATAGGGCTTCCCTGGTGGCTCAGCAGAAAAGAATCTGCCTGCAATGCAGGAGTCGCAGAAGATGCAGGTTTGATCCCTGGGTGGGTCAGGAAGAACCCCTGGAGGAGGGCCTGGCAACCCGCCCCAGTGTTCTTTCCTGGAGAATCCCATGGACAGAGAAGCCTGGCAGACTACGGTCCATAGGGTTGCAAAGAATCGGACACAACTGAAGCGACTTTGCATGCACACATGCTCTTAGGAAAATCTCCTTTAAAAAAGCGACATAGGCCATGGTTTGAGAGAACGGAACTGTCAAACATCTGGTACAAGTCCAGTGTGGGTGAGACAGTACAACTCAAGTTTGCTTGCTTTTATTTTTTTTAAGTTTACAATTTAGTGGTTTTAGTCCAGTCACATGTAAGCAACTGTGGCTATCATCTAATTCCAGACTTGAGTTATTTAAAACAATAAACTGTTTCATGAAATCTTTGGCTTCAATTATCTTGCATTCAGGGAAGAATGAGTTACAGTCCTACCTCTTCTCATGGCTCTGTCCCCTTTCACTGCAAGACTCTCCCCTGGTCTCTATCCATCCAGTCAAGGAGATGGAGACAGCTTCTGGATCCAGAGAAGGAGTCTGGTTCTGTTTTCATGGCCAGTGTTCCCTGTTGTCTGTGGGCCTCAGTCTCCATGTGGGTAAGGGCTGGATGTAACTTATGCCCTTGAATCAAGCTGCCTCCTGGATGGGTCCTCTTGATTTCTGTGAACCTTTCTGAGGCCACTTTGGACATGCCAGGGGGGGTGGGGTGGGTGTGGATGCTACTGGTAGTTTAGAGAGGAGATCGATCGCTGGCCCTTGAGATAAGAGCTCTGGGAGGACCCAGGAAGGCTCGAGCCTGCTCCTCATGCCCCCATACTCCGCTCCGTTGCTCAGCCTGGCACCTTTGCTTTGGTGCTTCCCACCCGTGTGATCAGTGTCTCTCCTCCCCAGTGAGAGAGATGGAGAAGTAATCAGAAAGCAACACAATTCGCCGCCCCTGCAACTTGGAGCTGTTAACAGAAGCTGCTCGTAGCTCTTCTGAAATGTTGTAGGGTCTAAGTCACTCCACCTGATGGTGAATTTTTGTTTTTAAGAATTCTTCTTTCCAGTGATTCTCATTAGACTTCAAAAACCTTGTTTTCACTTGGGTATGCTCACCCTACACAGTGTATTTATTTTCAAGTCTCATTGAAAGTTCATGAAGCTTTTTAATAAGATGGTATCCTCCAAGGAGACTTTTACTCTCTGCAGTTTATGATTCTGCTCTCAAAGAATAAACTCTCCCGCCGCTGCTGCTTTTTACTGCCAAAGGAGATTAAATAAAATGTTATAAATAATGCAATAAGAATAGTGATCTTGCTATGACATATTCTGGAATTGGGTATTCAATTTACACTTAAGTTGACGAATCCTCTTCCCCACCTTTCCCTAGCAGTCAGCGTCATGTGCATACCTAGAGATGAAAGCCATCTGTAGGATGGGTAAGTGCCTGCTCCCTCTGTGAACTTAAGTGATTGAAGATACTGGGCATTGGGTTCTAGCACTGGATTTTTTGGTGACATATTATTTTCATGATCACCAGGATAATGATAGTCTGCTGAGGACAAAAGAAAAACCTAAGAATACTCTTTTGTGAGTTTTGAGTTGGTTATTGCAGCTTATATTTTGAGTATGATTGAGTCAAAACAAAACATCCTCCCATTCAGTTTCACCCTCCCCACCAGAAAAAAAAAAAAAAGAAACCAACAATGAAGCAGGAAATAAAAATATTCCATTGCTGATTTGGGGCAGTGAAAGTAGAGTCCCAAGTTTCTAGCACATACAGTTAGTTGTTTAGCTTATATGGTTGCTGTGATCTATTGATAAATTAAAGTCTCCTGAAATTCCTCCCTTTTCCATCACAGCCCATAATGCTGTTATTATCCCTCCCTATCTATCAGTGAGCATCTGTGTGGTTTTAGTCTTTCTCCTGCTGTCACTCTTGTTTTCATTTATGTATTTCCCCACTATGTATGTTTCTTGCCTTGTCTTTCTTCTAGTGCATCAGGTTTAATTGTAAGGGTTCAGTAATAGTGAGAGGAACTAGTTCTCTTAGGCAACTACTTATTCACGTCTTTTTCTTTGTTTTTTAAATACCAAGTTATTTTGCGTCAGATAGAACAATTTTGCATTGAATCCAAATACAGTTGTGTTGGTTCAGGAAAACACTTAAATATACTTGCTAATAATATGAACATGTATGATTAAACAGTTGATTTTGCATTTTTTTTCATAATTTTGAGGAACTGGGGGGGGTAGGATGAAATGGCATTATTTAAAATTTAGAACTTTATCTGGAGAGAGGTGTTATAAGAAGTTTAGCACATATGCTAAGGAAAGAGTTGATCTAAAAAGGTAAATCACTAAAAAGAATGAAATTGGCCTATTTATATTAAAAGTAGTTAAGAAACTTTTCTGAAAAGAAAGGTACATTTAATCAGAGTGGTAACCCAGAAGGTATAAAGCAGATCTATAATTTTCTAAAGTCAATGCAATTCTCTGTTTATCAGAAGTTGGAAAGTAACATATCTTGATTGTTTTAGGAGTGATTTATGTATTGCAACTTTGGTTTATTTAAAGCATGTCTGCTGTGTTTGTCCTTAGAGAAATGTTTCAACAAAGCTCTCTGTTTAAGATGTGTTTAGGCAGTAGTTAGTGGCTCTGAGCATAGAAACTGGAAGTGTTTATTGTGAGGTCTGTTGCAGAATATCTGTTTTATGGGACATCATATAGTTTCCTGTTAGCCTAAAATTGTAAATCCTATGTAGATCCTCACCCCATTCAAAACAGGGGCCGTGATTTTTTTAAATAGACACTTGATGTTGGCTTTGATGTTAAATGAAGAGCTGGATTTCTTATATTTCCACATTTGTCAGAGCCCATCCCAATGGCAGATCTCTTTGTGTCTATATAATCATTTTTAAAAATAGACTATTTTAGAGCAGTTTTAGGTTCACAGAAAGCTTGATTGGAAGGTATAAAAATGTCCATACAACCCTCTGTTCCCACACATGCGCAGTCTCCCCTCCTGTCAACATTCCCCACTGGCGGGTACATTTGTGACACTTGACAAACCGACATTGATGTATCATTATCACCCAAAATCCCTAGTTTACATTAGGGTTCAGTCTTGTATATTCTATGGCTTTGGACAGGTGTGTAATGACATGTATCCACCGTTAATTACATTAATAGTACCATACAGAATAGTTTCACTGCCTTAAAAATCCTCTCTTTATCCCTCCCTGTCTCCTCTACCCCCTGCCACCCCCAATCAATTTTTCAACTAATTTCAGCTCTGTGGAAAGTTGTCTGTGTG